TATTAGCACAAGGTACTAATTGTGCTGAATCAAGTTGACAAATTTGCATAATTTGTAGGTTAACATTAGCATAATCCTTCAGTACATTGTTTAGCAACACTATAGAAACAAAATTCACAGAATGTTTTTACAGTATGATGATGAAGACTGCATATCTCTAACAATAATAATTTCCATGATGTAAGTCACGTTACTTAGGAAGGTTTTAACTGGTAGTGTTCTCTTCTACGTGGTTTTGTGAAGGTTCACTAAAGTGGAATAAGTCTTGGACATTGATTTCAAAGATCATGAAGGAATTATTTCAAAATTTTAAGGAATGAACTGTAACAAGGAAACAAAGTGAAAATTATTTTCTTTAAGGCAACAAATCAAAAACCTTTTGCAGTCTGTCTAATGTTTGTGATTTTCTTTTATACAATAGTCTTTTCTTCCACCATTTCTGTAGCTTCCTGAAAATGGCAGCCTTGAGACTAGGAAGTTCAAGCATAATCATATTGTATAAAATTCCTCTGAAAGTAAATCTGAATAAACATCTGGAAAACTTTTTGTGCAATGTCATGTGCAATTCTAGCAAGGAATTTCAGTTTTTGCTTATAGCTAATTTGATGTTGGTTTTTGAGCAGCTTTACCCATCAGCTGCAAGTGAAATCCAAAGATTCTGTAGAGTGATAATTTTTGAAGGAATAAGAGTGCCAGTATTTTTGTGACTTAATGCAAATTGGGCTGCAGATTATTGTAAAGTGAAATTGCTCCCTGAAGATGACGCTTACCGTGTTCCCTTCTGAGATGTCAATGTATGTAGACAAGGTGTGCCCACTGTTTTTCACATGTTAATTTTAATGTACTCAAATTAGAGAAATGAGGCTTAATTAGTGTCAGAGCTTATGTACCCTGCTTAATCCTTTTGCAGTATATGCAAGTCATTCACTGTAATTTATAATGAATCTATATAGAACTTAATGCTTGGCTTCAGGTTGCCCACTTGTACCTTCTTACCAAGCATATGCTAAGAGAAACAGAATAGTGTGACTAATAGAAAAGGAAATACTGCCCAGATATTGGACAGTCATCTACAAGCCACTCCCATTCAGCAGATGAAGAAGGTGAGTGATGAGTGAATATCACTTACTTATTTATTTTAGATCAATGATTTGTTTCTGATGGTAAACAAGACTGGCTCCCTAGATGAGGGTATAATTGCAAGTCTTTCCTTCCCTCCAAATGGTGTGGTTGGGGACTCCTGAGGTAGACATACTCTTCATGAATTTTCATACTCCTCAGAGGATTTTGCTTTTTATGAACTCGCTTATGAATTTTTACTATCTGCATTCTGCTGTGCCAAGACTGTAACATCTTAGCAGCTCAGTGTTTGTAGTTAGCTGTTTTTGTGGGTTTTGAACTTATAGTATGCTAACAGGATTGCAAATGGTAAAACATATAAAATAAAAATAAATATTTTAAATGTTAAAAATCTATAAAGTAGTGGTGTATATAAAATACTGTATTACACAGGTTAAGTGGGGAATCCTCACTTAGAAATACCAGAGATGGCCCCCAAAACAGTATTTAAGATGAAGCTGCTTCTGTCACTACAGCAACGTTGACGTTTCTCTTGTCAGTGTGACTGAGTTTTTGGATACGCCTAATCAGCAAAGGAACACTAATTTGTTTGTTTGGGTGAATTTACCTATCCATAATGTTTTTTTTTTTTACTTGATGTATAATACTACTCTGTACTTATACTGAAGGTAACAGTATTTGGCTTCTTGTTTTTTAAGACCTAATGACAAGCACTAATATTTCAACTTGTAAATGTTTATTTTTTTTTTTTATAATTCTGTACATATCCTCTCACTACAGCTTTTCTCTTCTCTCTCTTTGCAACTCTTATAAGCCAAAGCAAATGGAGGAGGGATGGAGAGTGGCAAGATTCAATTTGCAAGAGCTGGAATGCAAATTTAGTGATAACTAACATCAATTCTCACTGAATTTTTGCATTTAAGCTGCTGATAAACTTCCTCATGCTGAGAAGAGTAATTTCATTTTCCAAGGAATAGGAAGAGTTCTGTTTTAATGTAGTGTTTGAAATGAGAAACCATACTGGACCAAAAAAAAAAATAAATGGATTTTAGGTTTTATTTTCTGGGTGATTTTCTTAAATGTAAAATAAGACACTTCCATTTAATTTAGACAGAGGTCACTGGTAAAAATGGGCGTTTCAGTTGTGTCTAGTCTGCTTCTGCAAAATAGTGTGGTAATTGAAAAATCATCACAGTCATTTTAATAAATGAATTAAGTGAGTAACTACAGTTCTTAACTGGATCAGCAGTTTGTTTTGCTTACACTGACGAAGAAATTCATCATGTGTGGCAGTTCTTGAACTGCTCCTGTGTTCATCTGTAGCAAAGTAGGGCAGTCATAAACGTTACTTGGAATCTTAATGTACCTCTTCACTGCAACTCAAATATTTTAAAGAATTTTTACTGTGATTATGGCCAAGTTTCAAAAGAGCAATGAAAACTAGACAACATTGAAGCCAGAGGTTCGAAAACTGTCACATCTTCACTTGGCATACCTTTATGAAGAGAGAAAAAATGCAAAGGACACAATTGATAGGGCAAAGGTGGAGGCAAATACCTAGCCATCTGAAGAGGGCAATACTATATGAAAGGAAGAAAATACATTAGAAAGCTGTGGTGATTACAGCTTTTTTTTTGCAGGATGTGTTTTCAAATGAAACTCTTCTCTGTGTTCAAAGAAAAAAATATTTTGAGTACATCCACTCTGATTGTTCTTGAAAAATGTTTAGTAGTGCTTAACCTGATGGCTCAACAGCAATTTTCTACCAACTACTACTGTGCATAAATTATTATGTATTTGTATCTATTTTTTATTCTTAAATAGATATAGGTTTTGCACACTTATTTCATTTAGTTATTTTTATTTGGCCTTTTCTGACAATTTCTTTGTTATTTGGGTCTGGGTCCCAAAATAAAATGAGCGAATGTGCGAATGCTATTGAAATAACAACCTCACAATACCGAAAACTTAATACAGCTTGCTTTTATGGGAAACAGAGATTTCAACTTTTGTTGAAAGACAATTAGCCCCTAAAGCTTAGTAGACAACCAGTTCAATAAACCAGTTTTTATACTTGATTTTTTTTTTCCCTATGTATTTATTTCTTTTAACTAGCAAGATCATGTATTCTGAAATTTATGAAGGATTTTTTGTTTGTCCCAGGCTGCATCTTTATCTATCCATCACAACTTTTAAAGGCATTGAGTGCATTAGAAGTTTTCAGGTTTGAGTTCTGACATCTTTGATGTGGCTTCATCTCACAGGCAGCCATATTAAATTTGAGAGAACGAAGATTTCTTGAACTATTCTGGTAGTTTGTATCTGTTTTCATTCAAGTTTACTGATCACGTTGTCATTTAGATGAGTGCTTTGAAGTGTTTGGTATATTTAGACTGCACAGGACTAAGGAGCAACTATTTTAAATTAAATATAGGTTCTAGTGTTTAGCAGCTATTAACCTTAGGGCCCATGAATCAGATTGTGCTTGAGATATGCAATGAGTTGATTCACAGATGGATACAGGTTAGTTTGCTGCTCTTCTATGCAAAATTTAAATTACAAGAACTCTGCTCTACTCTTATTTTAAAACATGTTTTTAAATGCTTTAATTTTAAAAAAAAATTCAAGTCCTGCCCATTTTATGAACAAATTGGTAGAGTATGTTTATCTAAACTGCCTAATGTAATCAAACACTTTTGTAGGGGAAAAAATATATTTTTAATATATAATATATATATTTTTACATATATAATATATATATAGTATTGTCTCTCTCTGTCTTATGTGTTCTCTATCTCATAGTCAATGTACAAAAGTATAATGTTGTTTCATTGTTTGCTAGTGCAATTCTGTTTTGTATCTTTATCAAAAAGGGTTGCCATGAGTGAAAAAAAAATCTTCCTGGTTTGTATTTCTGTTAGCAACCTGGTTTATTTGGTGAAATAGTCATTCACATTCTAACAGTCATATAGTTTGTCTAAAGTTAATTGATCATCTTTGTTGTTATCCTTTAAGTACACTCTAAAACCTATTGTAATCCTACAAAAGAGGGTTATTAAACTAAAGAACAGTAAGGTGTTTCATGATAATCTGCTAACAAAGCATTCTAGCTAATCTCTTATTAGTGATCTCTTCAACAGCAATCCAAAACCTAAAGTAACTGCATTCCTTATGACATGGCCCATCTGCAAAATAAACAGATTATGTACTTCAGTACTTCTCAGGGCCTTGAGCAAACAGACTGATCAAAAAATACATTAGATATGCCAAAGCACTATAGGTACTTACGTGGTCTTATGTGTAGTGAATTTATACTGTGGAGATGATAGTAACAATGTTTTCATCTTTACTTACTGTATGAAAGCCTAATTTAAATATCTTTTGTTTCAACCATTCTTGTATTTCAGTCATTTCTATTTTTGCATATTTTGCATTTTGGTATCTTTACCAAATACTCAAATTGAAGAAAAGCATATACATAAGGGGTTAATAAAAGTAAGGCAAGAATACTTCCTTTTCATTCCAGAAGTGAAAATTCCTTTGAAGGAAGTTCCATTTTCTTTTCAGTAAGTATAGATGGACATTTGTATCCTCTGGGGAGGCAGTAAAATTGGAGCAGAATTGTACTGTATGCCTAGGATTCTGAAAACATGATATGACCACAGAATTTGTCTGAAACATCAAAAGGAGTTTAAAAATGGATAAGAGACTGGTTTTTAGCGCGTGTGCTTAATGATACTTTCACTAGACAGAACTACTACCATGTTTCCATTTGATATAACTGTTAGGAATGTTAATGTATGGTGCCATCAACAGGAAATTAGGAAATACAGGAAATACAGTCTGAGACATCTAACATTTTTTCTTTTTTCGTACAGTCAATAATTATTGATACATTATTTCATCTTTTATGCTTGCAGACGCTTTGACAAATCCATGGAAAAGTGGCGGCTTTTTCACTGTGAAATGAAAAGTTTTAATGAGTGGCTAACTGAAACTGAAGAGAAACTGTCAAGAGCACAGATAGAGGCTGGAGATGTGGGTCACGTGAAAACCAAGCAATTTCTCCAGGTAGGATTTGATCAACTCTTTTTCTCGTCAGTAATTAGATGTTTGCTGGTCTGGAAACTCCATTTTACAGTTTTTACTACATTTTACTCCGTTTTACAGTTCATTTTAGGTAGATTTCTAGTGTTGAGTGTCCAATAGCTATTTTAGTATTTCTGTTGTCTTTATTAACTAGTTTGTTTTAAAATATTTAAAGTAATAATAAGAATTAAAAAAAAAAAAAGTTAAGGAAAAGATAACTGCAGTAATTCCATAGTTACAGACTCATTTGGTCTTTGTTTGAACTACCCATTGATTTCCACATGATTAGCAAAAGTTTCAGGCTTTATTTTTAAATCATGTGTAAGATATGTGTTTAACAATTGAGCTGTAACATAAATATTTCATGAACTGTGTCTTACACGTACCTTAATATTTTGCCTGTTTCATGTTTTAATCAAAGAACCTTGAGGATGCATTTGTCAAATGCTGTGTGACAGAATAGCCACTTAGTTCCTATGTGTCCAGTTCCAATTTGTATGCTTTTCATCTTGCAGGCTCTTTGAGCATCATAAGGAAAATAATAACTCTAGTTTCTGGTTGTTTCATTTCACTCTTGTATGATTGAAATGGTAATGGGTTTGAAGAATTAATTCTAAACTGATGTTTTGCAAGTTGATAGGTTCAGCTGAATAAAATGGCTTGACTAAGCTCAGATTTCACGTTATAAATTACTACTGGTGCATAAGAAAAAAATCACTGTTAAACTAATCATCATTTTTACACTGAATTGCTGGATTGAATTACTGGACTTATGGTTGAAGGTAGTTGGGTCTATGTAATATAAAAGGTACAGCAGCTTTTTATCTGAGTGCAGGAGAACCAATCCTTTGGGCTTCTACTGATTTTTGCCCTACAGGCTTTTTTTTTTTTTTGTGTGTGTGTGGATGTGTTTGTTTATTATTCTTTTCTTTTTGATTTTAATATTTAAAGATGCCTTTTTTAAGCTATAGGCTGCTATTTCTTGACTGCAAAACTACAGAACTGAAAAAAATAAAATTGTTCAGTGCAAGCACAAAAATTGCTGTTAACTGTTAAGTAATACTGAAGTAAAGCTGAAAAAAGTTACTAATTGGTAAATATTTTTTTTATGAATTACTGTTGCGACTTCAAACACTGAGTAAGTCTAAAATCTGGCTGAAAGAGAAGCAATAGAATGTTATGGAGACATTAAAGATTCTTTCTAAAGAATATACAAAAGGTAGTGGAGATCATGTGTATTTCCAAGTCACTGAAGTTTTGTCTCCCTTTCTCTGTCTCACAGTTTTAAGTATTTCTTTGAAAAACAGATAAAAGAGTAAACTAAGACATGAGTATGTGACAGATATTAATATTGTGGCACAAAGGCTTACCCTTTCCTCTGGTTTGCCTTGTGTGTTCAATCACATTTTTAGGCACTATTCTAGTATCCATGAGTAGCTTGAAGCGCACGCTTATAACAGTGGAAAGTGTTTCTTCTTTTTTTGCTAACACCTTTCCAAAATGACATTTTTCCTCTATGAAGAGATTGTTCTTTGAGGGTGTCCAAACCAAGTTGTGTTACAGGTGGTATAAATGCACGAGATGTGTTAGAACATTTCACAGCCCCAACAGATTAGAAACTTTATTTTCTTCTCCTAGTAGAGAAAGATGCTCATGTTGAATTGAATATCAGTCTGTAAGACCTTGACATAATGTCCTGAGAGCTTAAAAAATATTTATTTTATTTCCTTCTGTTCCACATTTTTCTTTCACCTAGCCTCCTCAGGTTATCTGTTTGTTATTTTCCTATGCATTATATGAGATAGATGTTTATTTTTTTATATTTAATATATAGGAACAATGCAAGTATTTGAACATGTGCTATCAGGGTGGATTTCTAACAAAATTTAATATTGACAATCCATCAAGCTTTTTCTTTCTCTTTCATTTTTGATTGTGTTAGAAATCTCAGGAACTCATTGATTTACCTACCTAAAATCTCTTTTAGTTCAGCACGATATGGCCTTTCTTAAGAACATTCACATAACTTGTAAATATTACGACTAACTTCAAGAATGTAATCAAGTGTTAGGTAACATTTATTTGTGAGAGGATGTTTAATCTGAAGCTCCATTGGTACAGTTCCCTTTGTCTCTATTTTATTGGTTAGCATAAATAATCTGTGTCTCACATGACATACTTGTTGACAGTGCTATGCATCAAGAAAGTCTTAGTATTAGGCTTCTGTAAGGCAGAAGAGATCATTAGAATTTTCATTGGTTTAAACAGTTAAAACAGCTGAGCAGTTTGATTTACTAGGTTAGCGACTTGTTTAATTAATGAGATCGTGCTGTTTAGTGAACAGGATTTCTCCAAAAATTCTTTTATAAGCAATGGAACAGTTTTGAATTAAACAAAAAAAAAACTGTTTTAGAAAAAAATACAGATAATATTCAGATGTATAATACCATTTCTAGGCAGGAATACTTTGGAAAATAAAAATTCATGTGTCCGTTGACATTCAGTTACTACATAGAGTCAAATGTTAATGTAAAATGAAACAGTCAAAACTACAATTAGGTGATCATGTTGGTATGGATTGAGAGATTATTTTAGGTGTATTTTTTTGTTATTTCTTTTTGCTACACAATGCAGTGGGATGATATTATACTACATTCGTTCATTATCCATAAGGCGAATAAAATCTGGTAAGAGAATTGTTATTTTCAGATCATGAATACTTAAATACTCTTATTGTGAATTTTTTGCTGTTGTAAAAAAAATCATTTTAAGAAGTCGTAATTGACTTTTTAATTAGGAGACACAAGCTTTAAAGAGACGTTTTAAAGATAGCACATCATATAATCCTTTTGAAACATATTGAACTCTGTCCTGAAAGTAATTAGATATTTTTTTTCCTCATTATTCTGGCTGAAAGGATTTTCTGTCTTTTCACTCCTTAATGTTTAGTTTATACACACTTATTATTGTGCCAAGACCAAGATGTAGCTCAGTTTTATCTACTCCCCTGTCTTTATTCCCATCTGTTCTTATGGTCCGCAGTCATGTCACCAGTTGGATCTCATTTAGGTAAAGTACAGCTGCTATTCTCTAATCTGTTTTCATATGGTAGCTGGAGAACTTGACTCTTATGTGCCTGTGCCTCTTTCTGGAACACAAGATCTCAAAGTATTGTAGTCCTGACAGTGAGTTTGTCTTGCACCATCATCAGGGTAGCTCAGGTATTATGCTTTATGGTTGGATCTTACTATAGCTGGAAGTTAAAGTATTGTGTGCCATCATCTTGTGCTCTGTCATGCAGCTTCTATCTGTATTAATTTCAAATGCATAAAAGCAACTAACCAACCAACAAAAAGCCGTGTATGAAATTAATGCCATGCTTATATGGATGAAAGAGATAGATAACAATTAGTACAGTGGTATCTGTTTGACTGCAGGAGGGCATGGTTTCAGATGGTATAGAACAAAATGCTAACATAACGGTTACAGAAATGAATTATTCGAAAGTTTGAGAAGTAGACAGTAAAATTAAGTAAGTTCCCAAATCATTATCTGGGAATTTAAATATATGTTCTTATTTGAAGAATGCACGCAGGTCATCCAGAATATTTGTGCCTTACACAGGAACAATTACGAATTTGCTTATTTAGTATCTACTCTGAGGACTCAGGTTTAATGTTATCATTGTAGCTGCTGTTTTTTGTTTTGTTTTGTTTGTTTGTTTTGTTTTGTTTATTCAGTTGATTTAATGGTAAAATAATTAACTCTGGTCAGTCAGAGCAAGGGCTGGACTTCATACCTTCTTTTCTATAGTTTACATGTTTCAGAAATATTCCTTGGAGTTATTAATTTCTAAATTATTGACCTCAATTTACACACATAAATAGCAAGGATTCTGTTTACTTTTTAAGGTCACAGGAGATCTTAAAACCAGTAATTTTTTGAAACTTTGGGGCATTGGGTTTATTAATTATGCTTTGCCTTCTGAGCATACTATGGTTAGTGAAACAGTTTGTAAGTTACATGTCTCTCTTAAATTGTTCACGCATTGAATTGGTCAGCATAAACATTTTTGCGTACTTATAAAAGTCTGTAACAGAACGTGAATGACTCATGCCTTCTTTAGATCTTTCTTTTCTATAATGTCAGAAACTTCACATTGTTTTCCTTGTAGATGTTGGAATCAAAAAATATACAAAGGATCCAGGCCTCAGCACTGAAAATCTTGGTCATGCTAATAATTCTTCTCTTTTATATCTAAATTGGATTATATGGATATTGATGATTTAATAACCACTAAATTTAAACAGTTATTTCTGGAATGCAGCACAAATGGAATCAGAGGATATGGGAGAAAATAAGTGTTTCAGTGCTTGAGGCCACACATTCTCATACCAAAAAAAACCCAAAACAAAACAAAAAGTTGTAACTGCTCACGCTGTCTTTTCCTGAATGTAGAACTTGTAAAAATATTGTATATAATGATTTTGGATTTCATCTTATAAATTTTGTGTTTTAAAGTTACATCTGTACAATGCAAATAATCCCTGGTTTTCCTTGTTCTCTTTGTCTTCTTTTGAATCCAAATGATTCAGTTTTGTCCATTTGAATCAATCTTGTTTCATCTGGTTCCGTTTTGAATTGCAGGTTTTTTCATGCTATGCATTAATTTCAGAGAAATAGGAGAAAGTGAATCAAAGAGAAGCCAATTTGGCTTTCCCCCCCTTTTTTTCAGCATAGTCTGTAATTAGAAAGTTTATGGTATGTATGACAATATTTGCCACATTGTGAGTTCACATATAACATTATTTTAGAAGGAGTATATTGTGAGCTAATATTTTACAAACAGTAAAAGTACACAATGGCCTTGAAAATAGTTTCCACTGTCTCGGTGTTTTTTGTTTTGTTTCTCCATAAAGTTCTTATAATTTTACACATCCTTACAAGTAATGCATTTCTGGATGTATGAAATTCCTAAAACC